GAGCTCACCGAGCGCCTCTTCTCCATGGCGCACACCGTGGCGCTGGACCTGGCGGCCATCAACATCCAGCGCGGCCGTGACCACGGCATCCCGCCCTACCACGACTTCCGCGTCTACTGCAACCTGTCGGCCGCGCACACCTTCGAGGACCTCAAGAACGAGATCCAGGACCCCGAGGTCCGCACGAAGCTGCGCCGGTGAGTGCGCCAGGGCCGCTTTTTTACTTTTATTTATTTATTTCTTTTTACTTTTTTCCACCTTTTTTTGCTTAATCACACGAGGATATTTTTCTATTGTTTTTTTTTCTTAGAGAGAGAGAGTGGAAAGGAGAGGGAGAGGCAGAAACATCCATGTGAGAGAGACTCATGGATCGGCTGTCTCCCGCAGGCCCCCCACTGGGGATCCAGCCCACAACCCGGGCCTGTGCCCTGACCTGGAATCGAACCCCGTGACCTCCTGGGTCATAGGCCGTCGCTCACCACTGAGCCACGCTGGCCGGACAATTATTGTCTTATTTTCCATACAAACGGGGTAAACCTCCCCCTGCCCCGCCCTCCATATAAAGGAGGAGGCAGGGTGAGGTACAGCGTGAGGAAGAGTGCTTTAAAGTGTGGTCCTCAGCCTTCCTACTGCTGCCGCCCACAGGTGGAGAACCGCTGCTTTAAAGGTAGCCGTTCACGTGTGTAAGGGACGGCCTGGGTAACGTGCGATCACGACGGGAAGGGGCTGTCTGGTCTGTTGGCTGTGCTTTCCCAGAGGAGCCGTTGGGCGCGTTTAAGGCCTCCCTTGTCGTCCAGGTTGTACGGGTCCCCCCTCAACATCGACCTGTTCCCGGCCCTCATGGTGGAGGACCTGGTGCCCGGCAGCCGCCTGGGGCCCACGCTTATGTGCCTGCTCAGCACGCAGTTCCAGCGCCTGCGGGACGGGGACAGGTGAGCGCGAGGCGAGGGGGCCGGGCTTCGGGGACGCGGGAGAGGGGAACCGTGGGCGGCGGCCCCGTGTCCACGCCGCGTGCTGGGAGTGAAGGCGGCGCCGCGCCGGGTGCTATTTGTGTGGGTTTTTAATAGACTTCTTTTTACCGATCTCAGAGAGGAAGGGAGAGGGAGAGAGAGAAACATCAGTGATGAGAGAGAACCATGGGTCGGCCCCCTGCACGCCCCCTACTGGGGACTGAGCCTGCAACCTGGGCCTGTGCCCTGACGGAATCGAACCCTGACCTCCTGGTCCACAGGCGACACTCAGCTCCTGAGCCATGCCGGCCGGGCTGTGCTGTCTATTGG